ATCATCGGGCAAGACGAAAGTCGTTTAACCCAGATACGGCGCTTCCAACCAATTAATACAATACAACTAAAGATAATGTCGTTTCCTGGACTTCGCGTTAACACATCTGCTTTTGCGGTCTTCCCACGCGTCATCTGCCAAAAAAAAATGCGTCATCGATCATCATTTGTACTACTGACAGATGCATACGTCACTGTTGAAGTTGACAGACAACAAACAAAAGCAATTGATGGTGGGCGTTACGTAATCGATCATCATTTGTATCACATAAGATTGACGGAAAGAAATAAAAACAAAAACGAATACTCGAGCCAATCAAATGAACGTGTGAAAACGCAGCCTCCTACGACGACCACTTTAGACTATATTTACCACTAACGCAAACAAATGAGCGAGAGTAGAAGAAGATGAGCAAAAAAAAAAAGGAAAATCGTCAAGTGGGTGTCAAAGAGAATCCGTTTAGCGTTTATCGAAAATCCAATTATACTATACATTTCTCTCTCATCCTGTTTGAAAATTATTACAACTTCTTTCTTTTTATTCATCTATTTTGTCGTTAAGTGAACTCAAGGATTCGATCTTTGAGTTCGCTTCAAAGGTATTAGCATTGTTTTGCAAAAAAAACGCTTGTCACACGTACATGTTTCTAACGGTAAAGAATACCTGAAACAGGAACAGCGGGGAAAAAAAATTTAAACGAAACGGTAACCTAGATTAATTTTCGCCGCTCATCGATTAAAACAATTGCAATTGAACGATTATTTTCGATGTATAATATAAATATTGAAGCAAATTAATTTAGTTGGCCATGAAATTGCAAAAACAAACAAAAAATTAAACATTTAATTAACGTTTCCACGACAAGTGGTCAGTTGTCAAGGAAACGACGCTTATGCAATGTGATTTCTATTACCAAAATAAAAAAAGAATAATAGTATATAGTATACGTGTGTATATGTATTTGCATGGCTTCAACATACGATCTGGTGTTGCGTCATCTTTAATTTTATTATTTGCACCGCTCGGAATTTGATGTTAAATTTGAAAGTTGATCGAAACAAAACGAAAATGTGTCTTTATAATTTGTCGATTTACTAGAAAACTAAATGGACTATAAAGAAGATTAAGTGCGCATATTAAAGCTAAAACTATAGAGAATTCAATAATAGTAATTTAGTAATTGGAACTATTGTGGTTTTTGCATTATTCATTATCAAATATGAACTAATGAAATATTAATGTGTCTTTACATTTTGTCGAATTACTCGAAAACTAAGTAACTCTTAGTTCAAATTAAATACGCATATTAAAGCTAAAACTGTAGAGAATTCAACTGTTTTAACTGTTTAATTGCAAGTGTTGTGGTTTTTACATAATTCATAATTAAATTTGAAGTAATAAAAATTAAAAATCTTTACAAAACATTTTGTTAAATTATTAATAAACTAAATAAATCTTAGGTAATGTTAAGTGCGCATATTAAATCTAAAGCTATAGAGAATGCAATAATAGTAATTTAGTAATTGGAACTGTTGTGGTTGTTTCTTAATTCATTATCAAATTTGAACTAATGTAATATTAAGTGTCTTTACATTTTGTCCAATTACGAGAAAACTAAGCAAAACTTAGTTAAAATTAAATACGCATATTAAAGCTCAAAATATAGAGAATTCAACTAGTTTAATTAGTTAATTGCAATTATTGTGGTTGTTGCATAATTCATTATTAAATTTGAAGTAATAAAAATTAAAAATCTTTACAAAACATTTTGTTAAATTATTAGGAAACTAAATAAATCTTAGGTAATGTTAAGTACGCATATTAAAGTTAAACTATGGGGAAATCAATTAATGTAATTGGGTAATTACAACTGTTGTGGTTTTTGCATTATCCACTATCAAATTTGAACTAATGAACTTTATTATGAAATTTGTGAAATGAAGAAATAAAATATACTTTTTTTTATCCAATTATTATAAAATTGTGAAATATTAACTCTAAATATATACGTAATAAAATAATCAATCGAATTAAAATAATCTTTAAATAAAACCTTGAATACTTTCAGTTTTTCTTTTCTAAACTTATTCGTCAAAAAAGTAAATAAATTACAACGATTTTGTAATTAATTAAACTTTGACTACTCAATAACAAGTAGTAAAAACATTCAAGTTTATGTAACGAAAAAAATTTGCATAAAATAACAAATTTCCATCCAAACTTTCAAACTCAACAGTTTCGTTCGTTTCCTCTAATCTTCAAAGCAATTACGCTTATTTCGAAATACAAATATTGAAGTGTAGATCAAAGAAATCTGCATTTCTTTTGAATTATTCAAATTTTGATATGTAATAATTCAAAAATTTCTTTGAAACTCAAACATTTCCTTTAATATTTTGTATGATGAATGCTTTAAAATGTAATCAGTTTGATGAACAATTGGTAAAATCCCAGTTTGATGATTAATTTGATATAATTTCAAGATGTGTTTTATGTTTTTTAAAACGTAAGTAGTAGCAATAGTAAAGGGATGTTTACTAGATAAGTTTCAATGATTTTATTAGAACTGAATGAAATACGAGTTATCAAAAGCGTTCAACAACAAAAGGTGTCTTGTGTTGCGAAACATACGCTTGGATAAATAGCACGAAGGCTTATCGCGACGAAGAGTAAACATTATAGCGAAATTCAGCGCGGATACAAAAGTGGACTCAAAAAATAATAGCAATGTTTCGAATCTGAGCAAATGTTTGAAGTTCGTCCTTCCATTATTGAGACGATGATAAAAGATTCGAATAAGCGCACGTAGATCTTAACTGAATGAACGTAATCAAAGTCCCATAGATAATAAAGGTTTTGGATTCGTATCGATCCGATGATAAAAACAGATGAAAAAAAAAAGAACTAATAGATGTATTTACCTGGCGCCCACGTTTTTCTTTTTCTTCTTTCTTTCTTGTTCTTATTATATTCTTCACTTTCTATTTCTCTCTATCCATCAAATTCTCTTAGTCGATTTCTTGAAATCGTAGAAGTGCGCGTGTTAAATTTTGTTTTTTAAATAAAAATGGGGTTTCTTCGGGCCTTGAACTTGTTGAAAAACTGGATCCAAGCAATCTAGGATTTCGCGTCATTCACGCTCTCAACACTCGGAACTTAGACACGCAATCGTACGCGGTTAGTGGCCTTAAGCAAACTGACATTGGCCAGACTGTGAGAGTCCAACTCTCGGGGCTTCGGTCCCCACCCAGAGAGACAGAGAGCAGCAACACGTTCTATCCGACCCGACTGTGCAACTAATTCTGTAACAAAAAAAAACTCCACCTCCACCACCAACACCAACCCCGATCTCAACATCTACCTACTTCTACTCTCGCTTCTACCTGCTCCACAATTTTCTTTTTTCTCTCTCTCTTCAAAAAAACAAAAAAAAATATATATATGTCAGTCTGAATTGGACGGAAAGAAATGGTATCCAAGAAGGCGGCAATCATCCCATTACCCTTCAAACCCTTTCAGCCGGTTTATAATTAACATTCTCCAATTGCCGATCTAATAATACTATTACACCTCCTTTGATTTACTCAATTTGAATGTCAAACTCTATTCTCATTTCTTCTACAATCCTTAAGATATTCGAAACCGGTTTCATCTCTATCTTTCTCCTCATCCTCTCTCGTTCTTGTACAGTTCGTGCATCCTCTCTATGCGTTACATATAACTGTGCGAGTGGGTAGAAATCCGATGCAATTTCGCGACGAACACGTGCTCGAATTTCAAATTTAGATTCGGATGCAACCATCCTCGCTGCTTACGCAACTGACGCGCGTGTCGCTTATCATTTCTTTTTTTTAATTTCAGCACCATCTGCATATTTAAAAACACATTAATTTTACGTAACATAAAACAATTAATAAACAACATTCAATTAAACGTAAATGAATAAATAACATTTTTTTTTGTTCATTTAAATTAATTGCTTATGTTCTAATACTCTAGTAAATAATTTAATAAAATGTGCATTGATTAATTAATTTTTTTAAATATTAAGTTGGTACATGTCAATTCTTTGAACTATTAAATTATTACTTTATAATTTCTTTTTGATTATAATGAAAACTTATTTATAATCATAAATTGTATTTTAATGTTTCTTCGATTTTTACCTGTGATTTGGACAAATCTTAATGATCGGATTTTCTTTGGAATTGTTCACAATATTGTGATTTCGTCTCGAACAAACATGTTTATTAACTAAATAAATTATGTAATTAACAAATAAATTATGTTAAATCTAGTTTTAAATTAGATTTTTGAATAAACATATTTCAAATTTAAACTCACTAAGGATGCAACACAATATACGCGCATGTATTAACGGTTGCATGTACTATTACTAATATATAAAAATTCTTGTATAATTCTTTTAAATTAAATTATTTATATAATAAGTTTGTGTTTCTTTTCATTTTTTAATACCGTCATAATGATATCATTAATTATTATTTGATTTGTTATTTTATTATACAAAAAATATTAATAAAATAATTTCTACATTTTAAGAATACTTTAATTCAAACAATTGAAAATCTCATTTCCTAGTTTTTTTTTTCTTTGTTATTCAATTCACGAAATTTATGTGCATTGAATATTAATGTGTATTCAAATTTCAGAAAATATTTTGAATAAACTTAACAGTGTACTTTTCTCACTAATCCAAGCGATTTATGATAAGTAAACTAAATTAATTTATTGAATGATTCTATTAATGTTAATGACTTCATTAAAGAAATTTCACTTGATTCAAATTTAAAGACGTATACAATACATAATACGCAAATGAGGAAATGGTTGCATAGAATGTTCAAATAAGAATCTGGCATAATTTTTTTAAAACAAAAACAGTTTTTCTTTATTTGTTTAATCATTTTTTTCTCATCATTTTTTTTTTCATTTAAATTATTTTATTGTGACATAATAAGTGTCGTTCTTTCCTTTGATTTCTTTTCTCATTTTGTTTAATATCATCATGATAATAATAATAATATCATGGTAAAAATGTTACATACGACCATTCAAATTACAACATAGAAAGAACTAAAATAAGATTAGCAAAGACGGAGAACAGGGGGAAAAAGTAATAATATAATTAATTAATCAACTAATCGAAATTAAAAATCCATGCACGTCCCACAATCGCACGCACAATCGAGAGATGTCGGGTCGGATCGGTGCGCGCGCGTAAAATACTGTATAATTTATATAATGCAAATGGAAAATTAAAGATTACTTTTAATTAAAGGTATTATTCTTTTCCGTGGGTTCTATCTCTTGGTTTTGGTTGGTTTAGTTGTTGTTATTGTTGTTGTTGGATTGGGGTTTGGACTTAGAAAGTTAAACCGGCCATGGAGTAGTTGTTGAAGATCTTCTCAACGGAGTTGACGTATCCGGCGGTTCTCAGGTCGAGACCCAAGTTGAGTTGTTGGGCGGTCTTCATGAGAGCCTTGGCGGAACGCTCCATGGTGTAGTCCAGACCGGAGTGGACGATGTCCTTCTCGGAGGCACCGGCGATCTTCTTCTGGAAGGCCTCGGACGGGGTCACGGGGATGGGACCGCCGACCTTGCCGAAACGCCTCTCGAGCGATTCTTGCACGGATTCTGCAAATTAAATTCAATTACATAAAGTTTTGGTTGATTGATTGATTGATTGGACTTACGCAAAAGATGGTAGTTGGATTCGCGTTCGTACTTGAAGGTGAGACGACCGTACGAGACGTGGTTCAAGTTCTTGAGCCATTCGAAGAAGGATACGGTCACACCACCGGCGTTGATGTACAAGTCGGGGATGGCGAGGATCTTCCTCTCCTGGAGGATAAGATCGGCAGCGGGGGTGGTCGGGCCGTTGGCGGCCTCGGCGATGATCTTGGCTTGGATCTTGTGGGCGTTGCCCTTGTGGATGACCTGCTCGACGGCGGCCGGGACGAAGATGTCGCAAGCTTCGAACATGAGGTTCTCGCCGGCGTAGGCCTTGGCGCCGGGGAATCCGACGATGCTGCCCTTGTTCTGCATCTTGTACTCTTCGAGGTCCTTGGGGTTGATACCGTCTGGGTTGTGGATGGAACCATCGTATTCGATGATACCGATGACCTTGGCTCCGGCCCTGTGCAAGTACCTCATGGTGTGCAGACCGACGTTACCGAAACCTTGGATGATGACGGTCTTTCCTTGCCAGCCGGGCGTCGTGCCGACCATGCTCATGTAGCTTGGCTCCTTGATGAAGTTGTCAAGACCGTGGAAGACACCGCGACCGGTGGCGGAGATCCTACCGTGGATACCGCCCTGGTTGATCGGTTTACCGGTGACGCAGGCGTGGGAGTTGATGTCGTTGTAGCCGATGGTCTTGCCGTAGGTGTCGGCAATCCAGGACATCTCCCTCTCGCCGGTACCCATGTCTGGGGCTGGCACGTCGATGCCGGGCCCGATGAAGCCCTTCTTGGCCAACTCGAGGGTAAAACGACGGGTGATCTTCTCGAGCTCGTGCTCGCTGTACAACTTGGGGTTGATCTTGATACCAGCCTTGCCGCCACCGAATGGCACATCAACGCAGGCACACTTGTATGTCATCAGGGCGGAAAGAGCCTTAACTTCATCCCTGCACACATCCATGGAGAAACGAATACCTGAAAAAACGAAGACATTTTAAAAACTAATTCATCATTTCAGAGAACTTCAAAACTGACAATTTTGCAAGTTAATACATTTTCAACTTCCTGCTGTTAATACGTTTTGCAAAAAGTCAAAGTTTAATTTCATCTAATATCAAAAATTCAATTACAAATCTCAAGTAATTTCATTCGAAATTGAATAACTCGTTACATCTTAGAAACATGATTACATTGCAAATTGTCACACGATGCGACAGGAAGTTGTAAAACGAGTTTTGCCGCAGAAATTCTATTAGAAACATGTGAAACAAATAAAAAGCTTTCAAAATTTCAATTTGCAAACAAATTCAATTACGTCTCGTACATATCGTTCCGCAATCATCAATCATTTTATTCGTAAGCGTGCGTAGTAACGTAAGTACACAAGATACGTACATACGAAAATATAAATACGCTCAAGGCGACTCGACTCGGCCTGTTGTAATAAACGCGCTTTATCAATTGCATAAAATTATCGCAAGGGGGATTAAGTAACAGGAGAGATAGATGAAAATGTTGCAATCGGGCGATATAATCTCGTAAAAACGTAAAACGCCTCGATTCTTCCACCAGGAGCAACAAAAACACCCAATTAAAGGACACACACTCAAATAAATCTTATCGGACCGATAAAAAGCCACAAATTTTATCAAACAAATCCATATGAATAATCATTACGTAAACGCATCCACGCGAATTTCTGCGACGCTTTCGTTTTTAATGTTACCCGTCTTGGCCTAAATCAATCGAAAAAATAGTGTCCATTGGCAACAAAGCAATTGTTTTGACCGCTCGAAATACTTGTACGAACGGTGAACGAGCGCCAACGCCAAAATTCTTGCATTCGTCCAGAAATAGGTTTACAGAAGAAAAGAAAAAATGAAAAATTTGCTCCATTTCCTCGTATAATCAACGCATTTGTAACATTCTCATTGCAGTTTTTTTATTGTACGTAATAATAAATATCATTTTGATAACCTAAGCAACAATCTTGACGTGCAAATTACCATGGAAACAAAATATTTACGATCACTTTAGCCTTGCATAAAATGATAAAAGCAAAATATATCAAGGCTTAGGAAAATTCGTTAAAATTAGCAAACTTTAAAGTTAAAGTTGTATAACTAAGAAAATATTCAAATCCATTACCATGGAGACGGAAGTTGTTTCTCAGATTCCAATAATCTCACAAATCAAGTGTGCACTTCAAGAGCAATTGATCAATTCTAAATATAAACAGTTTCCAACTACTCGAAGAATCTTCAATTAGTAATGACAGTAATATAGAAATTAACGAGAATTTAAGATGTTTAGAATGAGAATTAACGCTTCAAAGCAAATCAATTTTCAATCGGTAAACATTGCACATTATCAGCAACTAATTAAGTTCACTTATCAAATGTACTTCTATTTTAAGCTTGTTTTCTACAATATGCGCCCATACTTAGACTATATGCATGAATTTATTATTAGCTAGTGTATATTATGCAAATTTGTTTCTACAAAACTTAAGTCTTTCGGCCTTCAAGTGAATGCTTAAATTAACAAACAAAATTTAATACTTTACAACTAGAATTTTAAAAATTCCATAAATTAATTAAAAAAAAAATCAAAATTAACTTGAGATAAGTTAAATTTAATTACATAATCGCACATTTTATCGCACTTTTCGCAGATAAAGAGTAATTATGAGTAATTAAAACAAATATTACGTTTACGTAATTTTATGTAGATTTTGTTGTAAAAACAAAACTTAACTTAATTATTATTTCATAAATTGCATTTCTCTTTGACATTCCGAATTGTATTCAAATCCTAAACTAAATAATTATATATAAATTGATATTTTCTGTACAGATTTTTAGATTTCGAAAGATGAAAAACTGTTTGCGAAACAGTTGATCCACAATAATTGCACAATCGAACCGAAAACTTTCTACGAAAACAAGGTTAAACCGCTCCAAAATATAAGATGAAACATAAAAAAAAATAGATGGGCTGATGTGTTCTCTACTATCAGTTGACATAGTAGAGATACGGATTCGAGTGCGCGGATAATCTTATAAACAATCGTCATTGCAACCTTCATTTGACACAGGACGAATAGTATGAGAATATTTGGAACCTCTTGAAAATCCGTCCTCTACAACAACTCATTTTGATTTCGATTCCATCATCATCTCACAAACAACATTGTTTACGAGTTGATTATTCGGTCATCAAAACGCTGGGGAAAAACCCCACCGCTTCAATTGAAAATGCAGCATTTGATACACTTAAGAGAAACTCTACAATTCAATTTTTAAATTTAAACAATACAATTATTGCAATCATTAACGCTCTCCATTATTTCAACTTTGAAACGAATCGAACAAACAGCAATTCACATTAATCGATTTTCCTACAAAACAAGTTTAATAAGCCTATTTGCATTAGCGAACACACTAATCAGCTGATATAGCGCAAGCTCTCTCTCTCGTTTTATTATGTCGTTGCGCAACTTTACTACCTTCTTTACGTAACTGAAGATTTAACGTGTGCATGTGATAATTACGACAATCACCTGAGTCCGCCACAAACTCACAATAATAGACTTTTTTTGTGTGTCTTTACATTCATATTTCGCGCAAATATTTGTAAAGTTTTACGATCTAGCATTCCCTTTGCGAGTCCATAAAAAAAAAGATTGTTAGAAGCCAACATTTACAGTTATTGGCACTGGTTATAAAAAAAAAAGTGACAAACAAAACAATTTAAATATCCACAACAACTTAAAATAGTTTTAAAAGACCTTTAACTTAATTGATTACTAAGATTTGATGCATTTCATAATAAATTTGTTACTTTATTCATTGCCTCAAATACGCTATGTTTATTTTTGCGGTTTTCTATAATAACTTTGTACGATAATGAAAACCGCACGTTTCTAAATAATAATGAAATTTCTTGTTCATTGAAACTCGCAACAATTGTAACGTTGAAGTAGCAATGGGAAAATAGAGATAAATAATCGCACAATGCAGAAGGGCAAATAAACTTGTTCACACGATTAGATTAAGAGTAAAATTTGCATCAAAACCAGCAACTGTGATGACATAAATTTGAATGTGACCTACTCAAGAGAATAAGAAAAAATATAGCTTCACATTCAATAATAAATTGGAATTATGATTAATAATAATTATTAAAATTATTGGTTTTCTTGTCTTCTTCAATGAATTGGAAACAAAGTTCATTAATTTGTAAAATTTTTAAGTAAAAAAACAAATATTTGAGATAAAAACGAAATTTTTAAATGATTTTGTAGAAAAATAGAACCATTGTGTTAATGATTCATTAATTTGCAATTGTTAACGCCTCGTGACGTTACTTAAATATTTGAGTAAAAGTTAATTAGACTATAATCAACTAAAAAATAATTGCAAATCATGCTGCATTTCTCTTATTTACTAATGGACCGAAATCAATAGATAATTAATTAACGTAACGACTAGTTTTTCAACTGCAATTGGGTGCGTGACCTGATGAACTTGAACGATAAAGCAAATTGCGGTCTCATTAGCTGCACGAACCATTGAAGAATGTAATAAATGAACATTTTGGTCCAATTATTGGAATCTGATTTCTGGTACAAAAGAAAGCTATTGTCTTGAGCCTCGTGGGTGAGAAAGCTGAGTTCGAAGGAGCGTAAAATAGCTCCGAAAAAAAAACAAGTAGACAAATGTAACAAATATCAGAACGTGACCTAGTTAAGTTAAGATCAGGCGATTCATATCTTCTAAATACGTTCCGCTTAATATCATATTTCGATTTGGATTTATCAACAAAAAAGTTTACTTCACACGTTCGGATGAATCAAAAATTTTGTACTTTTATAAGAAAACGTAGATTTAAGGTTCAATTGAGAGAGCAAAAACTGCAGATGAGATGTGTGACTATATAGTGCGAGCATGGACTATGTAATTAATGGTAATTGAGCTTTCGTTCATTGTGACCGACGACGGCCCTGGAATATTAATTCCGGAATGGAGAAATAAATATAAAAAAAAAACTGCTGACATTTGAGTGTCGTAAAGGTCAAAACGGTCAATTGATAACGAACGAAACTAACATACAAAAAATATGTGTTTGCAAATTAATAGTAATGAACGCGAATCGAAATGTCGCTAAAAACAAACGCAAACAATCGACGAATTGTTATTTTTCTGTTATGCAACAACACAAGGCTTTCTGTGTGTGGATTTTGCGTTAGATGATGAAAATACACCAAGCCGAGGCGGATAAATAAAATCGTATGTTTCTGGTTATGCAAGAGATCTGCCGCTTTAAAAATAGTTTTGACTTTTAGCGGCTGGATGTAGGACGCGCGCGATGTTGTTTTTCTTTTCATTTTCATTTTCCGAGTTGGATGGATACTGACCTCCCTTGCATGGCTGCTTGTGGGTGCTGTGCTGCGCCCTGTATCCCTTGATGATCTCGTACTGTCCGTTATCCCTGCGGATGGGGAAGGCGATCTCGATGACGTAGTCGCACTGTTCCATGAGTTGCAGGATGCCCTTGACCTTGGCCTTGCGCTGCTCGAGGGTGAGCCTCGAACCCTTAACGTACTGCAGGTCATCGACGAGCTTGTCCTCGACGGCGATGCAGGCCTTGTGGAAGAAGTACTCGACCATGTCGAAGAACTTGGGGTTCTCGTGCTCGGGCATGTTCTTCAGGCGATCGGGGATCTGGTGATCGGCGTACCCGCGCGCTGCCACCGAGGCAGCGGGCAGGCTCTTCAGCAGGGCCTCTCCGCCGGCGGCGGTGGCCTTCAAAGCCCTCGGGATCGACTTCAGATGGAACATCTTGTCGCTACGAATCTGCTCTGCAAATTGAGATTGGAATGCGATCAGCAAGACAACTTATACTCGCTCATTATCTATCTGTCCCCCATATCTGCAGGACACTATGATAACCAGCAGATATTTGCACACGCAATAATAATAATAATAATGATACTCACGACTGTAGCGGACTGCGCTCTTCTGCGTATGTGGCTCTCTCTCGCCGCAACTTACTCACCAGCCGCGTGCCTACACTTCTCCCCCCAACACGATTCGCAATTACGTAACGTATAAGATCAGAACGTATCTTGTGAGACCTACTATTTTTAACGCGATCCACCTACTTCTTCACCACACACACCCTCTTATTTTTGACACAACACGTCAGAGATGACAATAGCAAACATCAGAGGAAATAAATTGCAATCAGTAATTACCTGGAAGCCTACTGGATCTCCGGACTGGAATACGTACGAATCCTAAACCCAAATTAATGCGAAATCCAATTGGAAATTAGGCAACCAACATCGCTTCGCACAAAAACCGCTACAAACTGCAGAAAAAAATAATAATAATTTGATTACACCTGTCAACATCAATTTTCTAACTAACAAACCGTTAAATTTCATGAACCGCTTCGTCGTAGAGCCAAATCGTCCTCAGCGCATGTAATTCAATATTATCCGAACAATATTCACGCATTCGTTCAATATTTTACTGCAAGAAAATCATTAATATTATTGATTAATGAACAAGCAAATAGAACACATACCTCAATCAAACACTACGCACTAATGCAAACATTAGAACAAATACATATTTTATGCAACTTGCTTAGCAGGTTTCAAATTAATTATCCAAAATTATTACAATTTTTAATTTTTCATCTTATGTTCATCAATTGCATAAATTTAATTCGTTAATAATATTTTAAATTAGTAAATTGAAGCAATATTCTCAAAACTGAAACTAAGTGCTTTTTATTGAATGCAATAAACATCCATAATTTAAAAGTAGAAATCAAAATATTTATTGGCTTTTATGATGTTGATGTTGTGGAAATGACTCCATAAATTAAAAAATATTTAAGAGACAGCTTTATGATGTTATTCAATGTTTGCTACTAGTTGTTTCTTTTCAAATAAATGAACATATTAAATTTGTGTTAAGTTATTTGTTTGGATAATTAAATTTGTATTAATTATTATTAAATGTAATTATGGTTTTATGAAGGATTTTAAGTAAAACTTACTTGGGATTAGGATGGTGTATGCAACTCTATGTGCAGGCGTGTAGGAATTGCAGTTGTTATTGTCACAGCTGATGGTGACAGATCTGTCCACGTACGATCAACAACAACGCGATGGACGTGACGATCCTGTTCAAAGCGTGCGTGAAGACTGTTCGCACCACGAACAAATCTTTGGGGTTGAAGGACGCGAAGAGCGATATCCTGAGATCGAGCAAGGATGGGCACCTGCGGAAGGCCAAGGAGATCGTGCGGCAGATCACGAACCTGCAGAAGTTCTTCACCGACAACAAAGTGGCCTACTTGAACGTGGTGAATTACTTATCCACCAACAAGACGATGACCGAGCAGGACCGCATAGAGATCGACGCCGAAGCGCAGAAGATCATCAATTTATCAACGGCGATGATCGGCGAGTACAGGAAGGAGATCGTCCAGTGGAAGCTGTCCAAGCAGCAGCTGGAGCACTACGAGAACATACTGAATACGATCGAAGCTTACCTGAAGGAGGTGTCCAAGGTGTACATAGAAGCTAAAGCGATGCGGGTGAAGAAGGTAATAGAGATGCACAAGATCTCGAAGCTGGAGATGCCTTCTTCGTCGTCTACAGCGACCGAGCAGACGCCGAGGATTCCCAGCCAATCGGAGACGCAGGTGGAGAACGAGCTGAGCGCCGAGGAGATGCAAATGTTCGAATCGGAGAACGATATGCTTTACAACGAGCTGAACAGCATCTCCGACGAGGTGAAGCAGATCGAGAGCAAGGTGGTGCATATAGCCGAGCTGCAGGAGCTCTTCACCGAGAAGGTGCTGCAGCAGGAGATGGACATCGATAGGATTGCGAACGTCGTCGCAGCTACCACCGATGATATGAAGGGCGCCAACGAGCAGATCAGGCAGGCCATTCAGAGGAACGCCGGGCTTCGGGTCTGGGTCCTCTTCTTCCTCCTCATCATGTCATTCTCGCTCCTCTTCTTAGATTGGTACAACGATTAATATGAAAGAAGAACAAACAAGACATTAAACAAATTTTAAATAAATTAAGCTTAACACAACGCGTACCTTAATTTCTTTCGAAGCTTAATCAAATTCATCCAAATACCCGAAGTTACTGCAGCAAAACCAACACTGAATTGATGAACAATGACACAATCTGTAAACAAACAAGTTAATGTTACTATAGTGATGCAACAAACAAAACAATACATAAAACAAAAACCAATAAGATTGTGATGCAGCATAAATATTGAATTTCCAATTAGAATCATTAAAACATTTTTACTAAATATATAGAGATATGTATACTGTTAATAAGATGCAATCCAGTGTATGCAAATCAAATTTAAACTGTATTTTAAGTTTTAAAGATGTTGAGGAGAGCTACCATCTATTGGAGGATGTCTGAGTGTGTAATGACGTATGTGTATAAGGTGGCATAAGTAACAGCTGTGTGTCATCGGTGCATGTGTCTGCAGCGGGGTTTCTTACTTGAAATATTGCATCAGTTTATCAATAAAAATGAGTGATCTGTGCGAGGAAATCCTGAAGCACATCTCCGAGAACGGTGCAGTGGATACACCTGCATTGGCGAAGGCCTTAGGACAAGATCACCAGAAGATCGTCGGTGCGGTGCTGAGTATCCAGGCGAACGGGGACCTGGTGAACGCGGAACCTCGCAGCGAGAAACTCCTGGAGCTCAGCGATGAAGGCAAATCTGTCGCAGAGAATGGTGAATATTTAATAAACGTTTCATAAAGACAATTCGTGTGTAAATGAATGAACTTTGCAGGTAGTCATGAGGCCAAGATCTTTGAGGCTATCCCAGCCGATGGCATTCCACAGCCAGACCTGATGAAGATCCCCAATGCTAAGGTGGGATTCAGCAAAGCTATGGCTCTGGGCTGGATTGTCGTGGACAAATCAGGTGGAAAACCTATTGTGAAGAGGAAGATTGAAGCCATAACAGATTTAGTGCAGCAACACCTGAAATCCATCCAAGCTGGGAATTTATCAGAGATTACTGATAACTTGAAGCAGGAGTATAAAAAGAGGAAGTTGATTCAAGAGGTTGTGATGAAGAGTTTCCTGTTGAGCAAAGGCGCCAACTTTGCGTTGACCTTGCCCAAACTGGAAACGGATTTGACTGCTGATATGTTGGCTTCAGGAGCTTGGAAGTCGTTGACGTTCAAGGAGTACAATTTGGGCGCTATGGGAGTTCCTCTTGAATCCGGTTACCTTCATCCCTTGCTGAAGGTCCGATCGGAATTCAGGCAAATCTTCTTGGAGATGGGCTTCTCGGAAATGCCCACCAACAATTACGTGGAAAGTTCTTTCTGGAACTTCGACACCTTGTTCCAGCCGCAACAGCATCCTGCCAGAGATGCTCACGACACCTTCTTCTTATCCGATCCGGTGAACAGCAATAAATTCCCTGAGGATTACTTGGAAAGAGTTAAGAAAGTGCACAGCGAAGGCGGTTACGGAAGTTTAGGGTATCGGTACGATTGGAAGCTGGAGGAGGCTCAGAAGAATCTGCTGAGAACGCACACGACCGCTGTGAGCGCGAGGATGCTTTACAAGGTGGCCCAGCAGCCAGAATTCAAACCGACGAAGTTGTTCAGCATCGATCGCGTCTTCAGAAACGAAACGCTCGACGCGACGCATTTAGCTGAATTCCATCAAGTCGAAGGTGTCATCGCCGATTACGACTTGACGCTCGGCGATCTCATCGGCGTCTTCACCGAGTTCTTCAATAAGCTGGGAATCACGCAGCTCGAATTCAAACCCGCGTACAATCCGTACACGGAACCGAGCATGGAGATCTTCTGCTTCCATAAGGGTCTGAACAGGTGGATCGAGATTGGAAACTCGGGTATGTTCCGTCCGGAGATGCTGCTGCCCATGGGTCTGCCGAAGGACGTGAAGGTTTTGGCGTGGGGTCTGTCGCTGGAGAGGCCGACGATGATCAAATACGGGTACAACAATATCAGGGATTTGGTCGGGCCGAAGGTCGACCTCAGGATGGTGCAGAACACTCCGATCTGCCGTCTGGACAAGTGAATTTCGCATTTAGACTCTCTCTTGATGAATATTGAATATATGAAACGATAAGTTAAGTCGAGCTTAATTTATTTCACACACACATGTTTTTACTTTCTTGTTAATTAGCTTTTAAAACATACTGTAAAAAGAATAAAAAAATCTAATTAACACAATCATTGTTTTCTTGAAAATTTCAGGAAAAAAAAAGCAGATTCTTCACTTTTCAGTATATTTCTTGAAACACAAAATTGAAACAATGAAAGGATTGGATAAGAATACAAACAGGTATCAAACAAATAAAACAGTGCGATGATACAGAAAAAATAAATTTTATTTGTATTTTCGTTTATTTTTTTCTTCTTCACTTCTCTCTCACTCTCATATATATATATTTTATTTATTTTTTTTAGAAGGTTTTGGTATTAATAGTCATAAATTTTAATCTTCCAACGTAAGAAACAACCAATCAAACAGAAGAAACGAAAAAGGGGAGTTAACAACGTAAAGAGGCCACACCTTTTTTATTATTATTCTTCTTCCCACAGAAAAACAAACATCACTCATTCCTTATACACTTCACACTCGATCAACAAATTTCAACTTGCTTTCATATATAATAATAATAGTAGTAGTAGTAATAATATATATATCTCTCTTTCCTTTTCACTTCTCTCTCTCTCTCTCATAATAATAATATATATATAATATTTCGAATATATATATATACATAACTATTTATAAAGAAACAAACAATTTTCACTTCGCTTTCCGCTTTGACTAGAAGCTCAACATTTAATACACAAAAAAAAATAGGTCCAGTAACATATAGAAAAGAAAAGATCCTCTCGTCATTGCTGCTGCTGCGTGGTTCTTAAACACGAATCGGGGCGTGAAAATGCAACGGAAAATTTAAAAAAAAAAAAAAGAAAATACAACGATAATTGTTTGTTTGAAACGAACACATCACAATTGCAGAAAATTGTGCAAACAAAAGGAACGAACGGAAATCGAAAATAAATTGTTTCGCCTCGCCCACACGCATTCCACGTCCAATCAACGAACGAAACAATAATAAGTAGTAGTGAAGTGTGTGCGCCAATCGGAAGGCCGTATTCCATATATTTATGTTTTGAGGGGGCGTGCGATGCGAACCCTTCGACCAATCAAGCTGCTACATTACATTTAAATGGATGATTACGCTACCGGAATTGGCGACGAAGGGAAAGTCGCAGCGAACGAAAGACGCACGCACTAAACAAAAAAAAAAGCCCTCTTGTTTTATTTCTTGAAGAGGCTAGTATTACAAACTGTTTTTTTTTGTTGTTCTTTTAGTTTCGTTAAGACAATTAATTAAGTTTTCTCGCCTATTTTTTTTATGCTTTTTTCTCTCGTCTTCTTTACATAATCAATATAAAATTAAGTGGTTTTGTGTAATTAGTTAACAAGTTTTTCCATATATATTTTCGTTTTTTTCTCTCTCTCTAGCTTATTTTCTCCTTTCTCTTATTATTTTTTTTTTGATTAGTGCACTTTAAAAATAATTACTTATAAAAATACTGTTGGTTCTATATATGTATATATATATATGTATAAAAAAATCAACAGGAATAAATTATTTCTTTACAAAAAAAAAATATAGTAATAATACAGTTTTCCTTCCCGTTTTGCAAATTAGTTTTCAACAGTACAAAAAGAGAAAAACGTTAATAGTAATAATATATGTATGTATGTTATGACGACGACGATGATGGTGTTGGTGGTATTATCAATGATCCTCATAAGTTGATGGTGTCCAGGTCCTGGATGGGGGCCCGACCGGCGGAGCCCTCGCTGTCCTGGCCGGATGAGGCGGGCGCGACGCTACTCACCTTGCTCGTCTTGTGACTTCCGGAGTTCTTGCCGAGGATGTTGAAGTCGGTGGTGGGTAGCTTCTTCATGATCTTACCGGAGGTGATGAGGCGACCGAAGCCCTCCTGGTGGGCGAAAGCGTACCCGGATCGGATGGAGCGACGGGCGCGTCTTGCTGATGGCGTGCGCAGAACGTCCTGGCTCTGGCGCGACCTCATCGTTGCCACCCGCTGCTTCAGACGGACACGGTCGGAGAGGCTCGGGAAGACGTCCACAAAGTAGAAGCGCCAAGCGAGCACCGGCATCACCGAGATGATCACCGTCAGCACCGTCGTGAACCAGAAGTTCGCCTCAGACATAGCCTTCGTTAGGGAGCCCACGTAGATGCCGCCGATCACGTAATTGTAGAAGTAGTCCATTATGAAGTAGAACGCCAGAGAACCCCAGATCATGATGTGGTTGAACACGGTCCAATAGGCAGTGTCCATTGCGATCTGCATAAAGTCGTATACTGTATACTCAAACGTATCAAACGATTAGATAAAAACATACTTGAGCCGTGTTCACAATGACGAGAATCGTAGCCACGGCCGCGCAGAAAAGCATGTAATCGGAAAGAATATGACCATCGGGACTGACGGCATCGTAGTAAGTACCTAAAAGATCAACAACTCATTAAGTACATCTTGTAGAAAGTATTAGAGTGATAAGTTAATAAACACAATGAGAAGTTTGTAAATGTGTATCTGTAATGTTATAAATGTATGAATACGTACCATAAGGAATGAAAAATAATACTATTGAAACGTAGCAGCCTTGGAGAGCGCTTCGAAAGAACTCCTTTTTGTTGAAGAACAAATTGGAATGGCCGGGTCTGTACAGCTGGGGAAATAGGACGGAGTTCTGGTCGTTGACGTCCTGATCGAAGATGCCGACGAACAGGACCGGCTGCGACGTGTAGAACAGGTTGTAGACCGAGATGTACATAGGATCGAAAACAGTCTGCGACGAAGATTAAGAAAGAAAATTGTAATGCAAGCGTATAATGTTGATTGGTCATTAATTACCTGAGCCGAGAAACCGCAGAAGAACGCGTACCAAAAGTGGCAGAGCGTGAACGCGAAGTTCTTGTTGAAGAAGTACCGCAGGAACGTGCACATGCGATAGTAGGACCAACGACCGTGCACGAGCAGGAGCCTCTCCAGGAAACGGAACTGGGCTATCGAATAGTCCGAGGCGAGGACGGCCTGCATACCTTCCTGTCCCGAGATGCCGACACCTATGTGAGCGGCTACAAGAAACGTTCACTCAATTCCAATATTTCTGAATGGGTTAATCGTAAATGCACACCTTTGATCATACTGACATCGTTGGCGCCGTCGCCTATAGCCAGAGTTACAGCATGCTTATTCTTCTTGATCAGCTCGACGACCAGAGCCTTTTGCAGTGGAGTGACGCGACAGCAGATGACGCTCCTGCACTGAGTGACGATGTCCAGGAAGAGCCTCTCCAGCTGCGGATGCAAACAATGTACCAAAGAATTCCCGTTGATGACGATCGCGAATTCGGCGGACGTCGACACGGTCTCGTCGATCTTCTGGCCCTCGCTGTACTCCAACTCGGTGCTAGAAAGAAGCGAAGCACAACATGATCACAAAATTCCACCATCGAAAGACGCAGTTACAATGCAATGAACTGTGACACAGATAACACACAGAAGCGGTTTCGAAGAGCAAAGAGCAATGCGATTAATAGTTAAGAAATAAAAAAAACGAGGAGCCTTCGGAACACTAACGAACGCAATTCAATTTTTTTTTTTTAATTGTTCTTCTAGCTAAGAGTAATGCAGTGTATTCGCGTATACTTTTCTTACTACCTTGCTCTCACAGTGTCACCGTACGCATCGTCACCCCACCTGAAAGTCACCACGCTGACGGCCGGCGGCGGGGCGGGGTTCTGCTGGTGATGGTGCATCGGGGGCGGAGTCGACATGCCCATCTGGTCGCCGTCGCAGGCCACGCCCACCGGCACCGTGCTCGTATCCAAACGGCCGTTGGTCGTCTGCTGGTTGACGGGCGTCGTGCTCCGTCTGCTGAACCTGTTCACTATCCGGATGTTGTCCTTGAATTTTAGCAGCTGCTCGTGCACGTCGTCGTACGTGGACGCGTCCACGATGAACACGTCCACCATCTCGTCGGTAAGTAATTGGCAAGAGTAACCTATGTTTATAGCAGTTTCTACAAAATCAGAAGAAAAACAAATAGTAATTATCCGCTTGGATTGCGTGATTTGATTAATGAATACCTTGTTTATCACCCGTAAGTACCCATATTTTAATTCCCGCTAGCATCAAATTGGCAATGGTCTGCGGGACGCCGTCCTGCAGCTTATCCTCGATGGCCGTGACGCCGAGCAGCACCAGATCTCTCTCGATCTCCTCGTAGATGGCGTCCAGACGCTCGTCGCGGTCCTGCAGACTCAGAGCCGCCTCCATGTGGCGTTGCTTCCATTTGTTGAAGAACTCTTCGTCCAGATCCCTGCTCGCCAAACACAAGGTCCGCAGACCTTCACCCGCAAATTTCTGAAAACAGTTATCTATTAAATTATATGATTACTGATTACGACACTACTTATATCATTGTTATAAAATTTAAAAGAAAAGTGAAACTGTTTGAGTGATTGTAATTATATTTTAATAGTACATACATTTAAGTGTTCCTGAGTTCGATTCTTGACCTCGTCTGAATCAGCTCGCAGACGCTCGTAGATGACGTTGTCGGCGCCCTTGCAGTAGAGCCGCAGCTGTCCGTCCTTCCTGAGGATGACGGACATCCTTTTTCGCACGTTATTAAAATCTAAGATGCAGAGGAGCTCGTACACCTCCTTGGTGCCCATCACTTCGATGGTAATACTATTAGGTGAACGTTCGATGAACACGAAGCCAAAGTTCCGAGCGGCGGAGACGAGGGCCGCCTCATCGGGGGACTGCGCCTGGTACTCGAGCTTACCCGATCTGCTTTCGGACATGACCGTGTGACAGAGCGCCAGCAGACGAAAGAAGTTGTGGCAGTCGACGTCGTTGCGCTGGACCGCGTCCAGCAGGGTGTGATCGTAGAACTTGAACTCCTCCTCGTAGTTCGGATTGGAGGAGAAGTCAATCGTAGGCGTGCTAGCTGTGATTTCGACGATCTCCCCGGTGCTCTTGTCGATGAGGTCGCCGTACGTTTTACCTGCTATCGAGCACTTGTTGAACGTCATGATGTTTTGCGTCAGCGTTCCCGTCTTATCGGAGAAAATGTACTCGATCTGTCCGAGTTCCTCGTTCAGCGTGGTGGTGCGTGCCTTCGCGTGCGTGTTCGTCTCCTCGTGGTACATCTTCTCGTCCCAGTTGATGAGGAAACTCTGCACAAAGCGGATCACCTCTACAGAAACGTACAGCGAGATCGGCACCACCGTGTTCAGCACGATTGCGTACGAGAAGAACACGAGCAGCGCTATTATCGTTGCACCGCTAAGTGGCTCGGTCGGCACCAGGGTGTCCCAGGGCAGGTACCTCTGAAAGTACCTACCCACAAGAGACTCCCAGATACCGCAGCCTACCATGCAGAAAAGGCACATCGAGAGTAAAAAAAATACTATCCCTATGATTAGAAAATTAAGCAGTCTATCTATGCTGGTGCGCTTGAATTTGGTCTTGCCGCTGTTCTGCATGAGCTTCGTATCCTTTCCGGCGAAGATCACCACGCCGTAGCACCACTGCGTGTTGCGCAGCACGCATCCCCTCAAAATGATCTTGTCGTTGTCCAGCGAGTACTGCTTGTTGTTCCACGTCAGCGTACCCTCGAACTTGTTCAGCAGATTGTTCGGCGTTTCGCAGATGATCTCGCCGTTGAAGGCGCTGATCTTCCCATCGTCTTGACCCATTTCGGCCGTCTCCACCAGGCACTGTCTGCATTTCAGGTTCGTCTCGCCGTCCAGCTCCGCAGTCTCGATGTAACATAGGCCGTTCGGCTCGCTCGACGTCAACAGTAGGATGTCTGCAGCCACGAATTGGTTGTTGTCCATGCGGATGATGTCGCCCACCTGCACGCCGGACCACTTCTCCTTGACCAGTTTTCCATTTTTCACCGCCTGCGATTTACGATTGTTCACTTGCAAATCGGACATATGACGTTGCTGAAACAAACATTAACAAATATGATTCTTTTAACAAATATCTTGCAGACCTAAGTCTGAAATAGTTAATAAAGATGTTGAAGTATTAATTGAATAATGGGTACAGTTTCTAATTGCTTTCCACATTGAGGAACTAGGTCAGAAAATCATCCAACTAATTAGTGCCAAAGTATCCTAATCATTGATAAATGTATACAATTTACTTACGAAATCATCGTAGGCATCTTTGATTGCGGTGAGGCCGAGTACACCGATCAGAGGCAGAGCAGTCGTCACCGGCGTCAAACTGCTGATGGCTGGGATCAGTTGCAACACTAGAAGGCACAAGAAGTAGAAGTTCGCCAACCGCTGGAACTGCTCGAATAGATTCAGTGGCAGGAATGTAAGCACCGTGTACTTTGAGGTCTGGATATAATTGTTCTGAAAACAATACATTAAGTTTACATATTATCTAGTAGCCTTGGGTGTTACATTTCAAAATGACAAAAGCTACAAATTATGTAATTAGATTTTGCTCTAATGAAGTAATTTATACAAATTGAAATATGAAAAACAAAACTTTAGATAAATTGAATAATAATCAAATAAGAATGAATGTAATTTGAAATATACAACATATGAATCATGTACATGAACAAATATATTGGTTATTTGACATTTAAAAATGATTATAATTGTAATTGAATAAGAAACTTACAGCATATTTAAACTGGGAATTGAATGCACGATCATTGGCTCGAATCCTCCTCTGGTTGTCTGGAAATTACAAAATGAAGAATAGGGGGTCAATCAACTGTCTGAGACAAAGGCAAAGCACAAAAAACAAAACAAAACAGCAACACACATAGTTTCCTGCAGCTGAAAACAATCAATCTATGCAACATGATTAGCACATTCTGTTTAGAATCACAGGGGGAACCGAGAGAACAAACAATAGTTGGAATCCAATGTTAATTGCACTGCACGGATATAAATAAATAGAGACTTCAAAAATATATATATATAGGTATAAACAAATAGGTGGAATTTGAATTGAGAGAACTGTGATATTTTTGATGACATTTAAATGTGGCCATGGAAAACAAAAATATCAGTTTTTTTTTTGTTTGTTTGTTGATTTGTATTTTTGGTAGAGTTAAGACTTACTGCTTGCTGTGAAATTGGTTTTGTGATTCTGTTGCGATATTAAATGGTAAGTGTATTCCATATTATAGTAGTTATTTTGTCAGGCCATTTGTGTGTGAGCGGTCCTTAATAGTAACTTGCACACACTGACTGGTAGTAGAAGAAAAAAAAAATAAATAGAATAGGTGGCACAGGTCTAATTGCCTGTGCAAACATTTCATTGGTATAGATTATCACATGCATTAGAAAATTAGCAAATCACCAAATTAAGGTGAAAGTGGTTAACTGCTTGGGGCCAATAGGATCTTACCACCAAAGGGAACAACAAATGATTTCCTTTGCTGCAGTGGTGGCACTGCTGTCTGCGGTGGTGACTCAACCTTGTCCGGCACAGGGGTCTGGTAACGCCTCTGGTCCCTCCACACCACTATCTTACTGATGGCCCCCACAATGGAGTCCCTCAGGCTGATCGCAGCCCTCTCTCCACCACCAACACCACCAGATTTCTCACCCAGGTCCCCAGGTTTTTGCTTGCACTTTTTCCTGGTGTGCTTCAGGTGCTTCTTGCCGGCAGCACCCTGCTCCTTCTGATGGTCCCCACCATCCTCGTACACCTCAAACACTTCCAGCTCATAATCCATTTCAACATCGACACTTGCAGCCCTCGCCAGGACACCGCTCCAGACGCGATCTCATCTAACAACGTCCCTTTCAGGAGCCCACCTCTTTAACACCCCCCCAAAAAAAGAAAAACTCTTTATATATTTACTCTAACCCCCAAACGCGCGACGACTGCGACCAGCTGACGACGCCCTTCCAGCGACATAGTTCACTGCACCCCCCCAGCACAGAGGACTGCCCTTCGAACGTCTTCGCCTAGGATCAACCCAGACGCGATTCACCCCCAGAATTCCCCTATTTTTTTCCCTTCGGTGTGACACACTAACATGTACCAAGTGCGAAAAAAAAAACGTCCTCCACCATTACAATGGTAAAATAGGAAATGGCAAGAGACGTCAAAGGATCAGGGGGGGAAACGCATCTTCGCAGGACCTGCAGGGTCGTAGGGAATTTCCCAATTTTCCTTAACAGAAACCATCTGATGACCAATCCGATGGACGGCCGAACGATGCTCTGATAACGCATTTTGAACGAGATAAAAAAATCCGAGATTCTGGAAACACGGAAGTCGCGCCCTCTCGCGGCGAGTAGAGGATGTCCAGTTCTCGTTGCAAATACCATTTGAATTTCAAATTCAATCTATTTTTAGCCTTCGCGTAATTAATTAATTACACATCGCTCCATCTAATTAATCGCAGTTTGCGCAAAGCAATCTAAACTCTCCGGATTTACTTTACACCACTTTGATTTTATCACCCAACTATAAAACTACAATTAACACTAATTTAATACTTAGTCTTAGTTTATATTCAACATTTACTTATTACACATATTTATAATGTATATAGACTAAAGATAATATCAAGATATATAACTTCACTTGGACAGAAATAGTTATAATAGCTATAGACCATAGCAACTCTATAATTTATTTATCTGTATCATTGACTTTCTTATAAGTTTATATGATAATTGATATTATTTCTCCTATAATTAAGAAACATTTTCTTTACTAATTTATGATACTTAATTCAACAAAAAATTGAATGTTTTAAGACTTCTTTTGAAAACTTTTATATTTTTTAATCGATGTTCCTTGCATGCACTATATTCACTTTAGAAACTAGTTCAATATCGTCAAGTTATAGCAATATACAAGTTAATTTAACTTTACAATTAGTTCGCGTTGTTTACTGATTTTAATTGAAAACTCGATATTCTCCTCACATTTAATTGTTAAATAAACTAATTTTGTCAATATTACTACAAATGTAAGAAAATTAATTTTACATAATTTCTAATTGTATTGCTAATTCGCACTTATAGATTTAATTGCAATTGAAACATTTCTAAGTGCAAGTAATTATCAAATGGAGTGTTTATTGATTATGAAAATCCTCTTTCCAGACAAATCCAGAACCGGATTAAGACTTTTTCATACTTTCAAATTAAAACTTTGTATTAATTACTTAGTTTAAAATTTGCTTACATTTTTCAAAAATCTTATAGAATTAGGCAGTAGTAAATCTGTAGCGATATAAGAAAATGTAGTGTGTTTTTTAAAATTTATTATTAGATTTTAGGTTAATTTTTTATTTAATTGCGGATTAAATTATTTTCGTACTTAGTTAATTTACGTCAATCCGACCCTGCGTATTTTAATCTGCTTGAAATGCGTTTCATTCGATTCAATCGCCCCGCACTTCATCGACTAATTACGCAAATATTTACTTAGCTTTGGACTGTTTAATTGGAGTGAAATAAATGTACAACACACACAAAAAAAAAGAACGAATTTAATTCGTAATCTAATCGCATTACCCCGATAATATTAGTAAACTCATTGATTATTCTTAAAATATTTAATTAAACTAACATTTTGCAATTTTTAATTAAATTTCCTGTTATAACAGTGTAATTCCAATTACCTGGTGAACCGATTGATACGCGCTATCAAAGCGGGAAAATCAAATTAGTTATTTGACGGTGATTGTAATTACTTGGAATTACACATTAATGTGTGAGTAATGAAATTAAATCGTTTACAAAAAAACATTTTTGTTAGTCGCGGAAGCTTTTATCGAAGACTCGTGTAAACTCACATCCGTGTGTCAACAGAAATGAACGGGAAGAACTCACGCTAATTTCTGTTCTCCCACGACGTGATTGACATTTTCAGGACCATCCGGATATGCGAAGGGCGCGTCTAATTATTAAAGGTTTTTATTTTTTGATTAATTGATCGAGGAAACTCATCAATTAAATTACAGGGCAGAATTCGCAAACACTGCTTTTTCGAGCATTTTTTCAACTTTGAACATGAATTACAGCCAAACGGCTAAAACCACAGTAATATATCAATACTTGCTAGATTCCCCAAACATTCAGCTTTCATATGCATATATTGGATTCATTCTATGTATTATAGTTTTCAAGAAAATCAATGAAATTTTGAGCACTTTTGGATTCATTCTATGTATTATAGTTTTCAATGATAAATCAATGAAATGTAAATGATTTATTTAGTGATTACAAAAAAAGTTTGTGTTTATTTATAGCTTTGAACACGAATTACAGCCAAACGGCTAAAACCAAGTAATATATCGATCAGTTCTAGATTCCCCAAACATTCAGCTTTCATATGCATATTTGGATTCATTCTATGTATTATAGTTTTCGAGTAAATCAATGAAATGTGGGAGGCGCGCCTCACAGTTTGGAAAACGCTGATCTACACTCTATAATCTAAGTGACAGTCACA